TTCTCAAATAGGATAATTCTATCAAATCAAAATGGTAAATAACTAATTTAATTAAGTAATTATTAGACTTTTCACCCTTCACCTACCCTTTTTACTAATGATCCCCCTCATGAGCACGAATATTTGCTGATTAAGCAAACCTTTTGTATTGTACACATCATTTTCAAAGACGTACATATATCATATCATATTAACATTCGCATATACATGCATTTTAGTGATGCATGTATTAAAAAACTATTTCATCCCGGCATTTTTGTATTTTTATACATACTTTTTTGATTAAATATGTGTTTGTTTTATTCTCTCTTATATATATATATATTTTTTTTTCTCTTTTATTTTATTGTGCGAAGATTTTTGGAGATAATTTTTTCTTTTATCATCATACAGTGCTTTCATTTCTGTAAATAGATCCGTGAGATTTTTTTTACCAAAAAAAAAAAACGGAGGGCTAACAGATATAATGCCAAATAAAAAATTAAAATCCGGATCATGAAAAATTCTCATCACGTGACAATGGAAACATCATTATTTTTCCGTGATGATCAAAAATTTGCATCTTTAAATATGCCAGAGCTAACGTCAATAAAGACGGTTCCCCCAAACCAAATATCAATAATTCCTTCCATTATAAAATTTGTAGTTTTATTTTCAATTTCTACCGGTTTCGTGTACTTTACGCTTCAAAGCTTTTTACCAGCAAAAGGGTAAACTTATGTTCTGGTTCGAGAATTTTCTACAGAAAAAAAAACTAACTTCATTATTTGAAAATACATAAACATAGAGATGTAGACTTTCATTTTCCAAGAACATACAAGGAAATACGCCAAATCTATAAAGCATTATTAACCGGAAAAGGTCAAGACGACTTGACAATTCTCATGTGTTACGCGTTAACTTATATTTTGTAAGAGTCTGTAGATGTGCACGCGCCTAATGATTATTTGATAAGAATGTGTGAAAGGGCATAATATTATCTTTGCTATTTTTGAAATCTATTAATAATGAATCTTTGATCTTTAATTAAAAAGTTTACAGTCATTTGCTATACCCGGCAGTGTAATGCTTAGTGTTTTGGGAGGAATGTTGTGGGGGAGCTGGAAGGCATTACCGATTGTTTGTTTTGTGAGTCAGATCTATAAAAAACAAAAAGTTTCATTGGTCAGAATTCGATTTCTTTTTCAGTTTCAGTTTACTCAAGATCCCTATTTTTTTTTACCTACACAAAGTGTGCAGCAACGGGTGCATCAATCTGCTATTTAATTTCTCTCTATCTGGGACGAGCATTCGTCCAAAAGTATCTTTCTTCTCGCATGAGGATCTGGAATAGACAGGTAGAATTTACCTCCAAAAAAAGTAGGATCGTTCGTTATCTCTTTTGCAAACTAACTTACTTTTCATTACCAATGTAATCAAAAAAAAAGTTGGAAGAAGAAAGGCAGAATCTATTTTCTTATATAGTATTTGTGCGCGTGGCGCCATTCTTTCCAAATTGGTTTGTAAATATTGCGTCGCCACATTTGGAAGTCAGTTTGAACGTTTTCTTTTGGGCAACACTTGTCGGTGAGTAACATAGATAACATTTAATATCATCGATAAGGATCGCTAATGGAATATATTAAATTTAGGTGTTGCGCCGCTTTCCTTCATCCATGTCCAAGCAGGAGAAACAATTCGCATTACGGGAACTGAAGATGTTTCTTTTTTCACGCCACGAAATTTGGTTTCAATGTCGCTGATTGCAGTGGCTGCATTTATTTCTGCTTACATTCGACGAAAATATTCAAACAAATTAAGGAAGTTAGAATAACTTAGATTATTTATTTCTATTTATGTTACATCAAACATTACCTATCCAATAAAATCAATCATCGAAAATTTTGTCTCACAAAGATAAAATTATAAAAGCTCAGCCGGATACATATCGATATACACAAAATCAAACAAAACTTCTAACTAGATTCAGGGTTATTGTGTTTTTTGACAGTTTTGCTCTAGACAAAACACGTACCAGTCTAACGTCATGAGCATCTTGCAAGGTGCATTAGAAAAGCTTCTTGCGGAGGCAAGAAGTACTAAACAAAAAGAACTACAATCACAATGTACTGCAGCGTTAGAGAAACTTTATCAAGAGATTAATATGAAATCAAAAGAAGCTGCTCAGAAAAGACTGGAACATGCCGCGAAAATAAAGAATACGTCAAACACGAACAATTCAACTGTGACAGATGCTGTTAATAGTAGTGTATCAGAAAAAGACACGGGGAAAGTGGAAGAAAGGGAAAGTACGGAGGAGCAATCAAAGAAAGAAATCATAGAGGACAATGAAGAAAAATTAAGTGAAAAAAGAAACAGCAATAATCATTCTAATTCGTCAAATGAATCGTTGGTAATAGTTCAACCGGCGCAAAGTCCAGAGCTTGAATCACCTCGATCGCGTTCTTCGATTTCTAGTGGATTGTTTATTCATCCCAATGAAGATCTTCCCAAAATATTGATGGGTGAAAAGTCTAATAATTACTTAATTAAATTAGTTATTTACCATTTTGATTTGATAGAATTATCCTATTTGAGAA